AAAAAAAAACAGAAAAATAAATCTTATGTATCATGGCTTGGTTTTGATTCGTTACATAACTCGTGGATATCATCATCAGATATTGTAAAATAATTCGAACGAATTATTTATAACACAAGATGATTATACAATAATTATACAACGATTATAATATAAAATATTATACAATAAAATGAATAAATCTATGTTAAAATTTCATAGTCTTAATAAAATGTAAATCTAATATTTTCAAATAATAAAAAGTAAAAATGTAATTTACATATGTGTTATTTTATTTTCATTTTGGTGTCAGATATATAGATAATTAAATATTATATTATCATAATAACTAAGTATTTTTTAATTTATAATGCCCATATGGAAGCGTACATACACCTCCTTTTAATATAACTCTTTTGTCGTCATTTGCACTTAAAACGACTTTACTTACAGATTTTGAATACACTTGATGTTTGGTTGATTGTATTAAATTAATGTTACGATTCTCTATTATCTTACTACTATCACCTCCTACAGTATTATTTTCGTTTTGATTTATAAATGAATATAAAATATTTTTATAATTGTCAAAAGACATCTGTTTTTTCACAATATATTTTTTAACACCTTTCGCTCTTTTATATTCAACACCGTTCACTGTGTAAGCATACAATCTAGAGCGCAACGATACAAATTCGGTCATTATTTCACTTTTTAATTCATCTTTGAAATAACCAGGTATGCTTTCATTATTAGAATTGAAACAAGAATGATTATGCGGATAATTGGAGGTGTCGAAATGTTTTAGTAAATCATATTTTAAATCATTGAAAAAATCATTTGTTTTTATGCGGTATAGTAATGAATCTGTGTCAGTATAAATCAATGATATATTTTTATCATATTTATTTTTCATTATATTATAATGAAAATCATAAATTATAGTTTTTGAAATATCTAAAATTGTTAAACCAACGTAAATAGGTTTATCAAATTTAATTTTTCCTTTAAACATGAATCGCCATTAGGTTATTAGAGTAAATTGTGCGATCTTTAAAATTTGGTTTTATGAGATATCTACAAGCCATTTTGTCGCTTGTAACTAATTTTATTTCCATTCTTTTCCGTGGATTCTCCATACATTTTCCGTAAACGCTATTTACCATCAATTTCCAAAATTGACGTTCAAATTCGTTATTGGCCTTCACTCTCATACTTGTACATTTCATTACGTATGGTAACATCCATTTTGATTGCTTAAATCTAATTACTCTATGTATTTTAATTATTTTTAACCCATTATTCACCGCTTGTTTTAATGTTCTATAATGTGCCACATAATTTTTTTTATGATGTAAAGTCGTAAGAAGCTTTTTAACTTTTGAATTAGGTGGACACGAATTTTGTGGTAAAAATGGTAAATCACTATGTGCATCATGAATGTTTTCAGGATAATCCACGTCCACTTCTAATATAAACCCATACGGACCATTATCGTCTATCATCATAATATTTAATGAAAAATCACTATACCATTCAAAGTCTTTATATGGTAAACTAGCAAGCATTGATTTCCCATATAAATTTACACAATCAAAATAGGATAAATATACATTAGGTTTTTCTTCATCATACCCGTCCACATTCGGCAAATTTGCTTTAGCATATCGTCTTACTGACTGGCAAATACCTCCTCGAATTCCGTCCTCAATCATTAATAACATGGTGTAGTCTTTTAACCTCTCGAGTTCAACTTTTGTAAATCGCAGCATTGCGTCAAAAGCGAAACTTGGTGCAGTTAAATAATACGATGCATCCAAATTAAATGTTTTTAAACAAATGTCACGGAAATTTTCGAATACATCGGACAACAGTAAAATGTCTGTTAATAAATATAAATCACTATATTCACCTATCGTTTTTATATTAAATTTTTTCCAAACTTCGCATGCATGAATATAATCTTTTTTAGAAATATGATCATCTGTTAATGAGTTATAAAACTTAGATTTCGGTGGTAAGGAAGTTTCGTTAAGTTTTTCCCAACAATTGATATACTCATAAGGAAAAACTCCTTTACGAATAACTAAATTTAAATTATTATTGGAAAAATATTTTTTAGTTTCACGGAATTTTGATTTATCTTTAGCTAAATTATTAGTTAAATTAGCTAACGATTCAGACATAAATCTAAATGTGTCTACAAACTTTACATAAAAACCATCTTTAATTTGTTTGCTACAAGTAATATATTTTTCACATGAATTTGGAATAACGTCAATATTCATATCATCGTAACCGAGTTCATGTATAATGAAATGACTATCATATGATAAATTGTGGAAATAAACAGGAACAAACGAGGGACTTTGTGCCAAAAAATTACACTCAACACAAAGCGGTCTTAAATATTTACCTGTTAAATGAGAGTGATCTCGCACTTTTATGATAGAAATATGGTCAAACGTTTTTGAACAATGGTGACAAGTTTTTTTTTTTTTTTTAATATTCAAAAGTAATTAACAATCTGTATCCATACTAGACACAATAAGAAAATATGATAAAGGTTAACATATCATGAGGTTTTATTGAAAGAAGCCACCCATTGATAGCACTATCTACTAACTTGATAATTATTTATTTTTATTTATTTATTTATTTTTTTTTTTTTAATTATTTTTAATTTAATTTAATATATAATATATAATTTATTTAATTTAAGAGATCTCTAGACCACTTACGCTTCAGACGTCTCGGAGGATTTCCAGGTATTGTGGGAGTGGCCAAGTTTTTTATTAATTGATTAGGGTGATTATTTAGACGGTAATAGAATCTTTTGTAAAAGATTTTAGCTTCATCATTTATTTTATTAAGTTTCAAGTCGGTGTGTAGTGTATGATTTGACACGTAAGGTGGAGCATTCGTTAGTTTTCTAAGCACGATATTTTGAAAGGTTTGGATTTTCAAAATATTTGTCTTTTTCGCATTGCCCCAAAGCTGAAGGCCGTAGGTCCAAAGTGGTTTCAATAGTGTTTTATATATAAGCAGTTTAGTTCTAAGAGAGGTGTGATTATTATTGGATAATAATGGTTTAAGTAATCGAAGACGATGATTCAATGCTAATCTTTTGGTTCTGATATGATGAGCCCACGTTAATCTTTGGTCTAACGTAAGGCCGAGGTATTTGATTTTTGGAGAGTAGGGAATTGGAATTCCATATAGGACAACACCAGGACAAGGAGTATGTCTTAGGGTAAAGGTTGTGTGGACGGATTTATTCTGGTTAACTTTAAACCGCCATTTTGTAAACCATTTTTCCATAGCATTAAGGTGAGTTTGAAGATTTATTGACGCTAAGATTGGATTTTTGTTAATGGATATTAGTGCTTTGTCATCAGCAAAGTCAGCTACAGATGTGTTGGGGGTAATAGGTTGATCAGATGCAAAGATGTTATAGAGAATTGGAGATAGGATTCCACCTTGAGGCACACCAGCATTTATAGAAGCTAGATCAGATAGAGCGGAACCGTGGCGAACTTGAAAAAATCGATCCGTTAGATAGGATTTGATAAGTAAATAGTAAGTGGGTGGAAGGAATTTCTTAAGTTTATATAAAAGGCCATCGTGCCACACCCTATCGAAGGCTTGTGCGATGTCTAGAAACACACAGTTGCAATAAAGTTTTTTTTCCAGGGAATACGAAATAGCATCTACGACTCTGTGCACTTGGTGTGTGGTTGAGTGAGACGCCCGAAAGCCGAATTGAGTATTTGGAAGGATATTCTTTTGAGTAATGATAGGTATAATACGTTTCAGAATTAATCGTTCAAGTATTTTAGCGAAAAATGGGAGAAGGCTAATTGGTCGATGTGACGATGGAATGTCCGGCGGTTTATTTGGTTTAGGGAACAAGATTATAGTGGAGAATTTCCAAAGTAGAGGAAAATAAGAAAGTCTAAGTGAAGCATTAAATATGTGAGTGATATGAACGATAGCTCTAGTTGGAAGGGATCTGGCTACTTCCGCAGTAATGCGATCATAGCCCGGTGATTTGTTTAGTGAGTATTTTAGTATGGCATATTTAACATCGTTTGGTGTAAATGACTTGACAGGGAGAGTTAGAGGAAGGGAAGCATTCAGAAACGTTTCTACCGTATTCATATTTTCATTGTCAATTATCTCAGCGTGAGGTTGAAAAGTTTGAGAAAAATGCTCCTTAAAGAGTTCTGCTTTTTCGAAGTCAGAAATGGCAAGGCTGCCATCTGATTTCTTAATAGGGAGATTTGGTGATTTATAACGAAGAATTTGTTTGGTTTCCCTCCAGAGACTACCATCTTTGGGAGTAAGCTTCATTAAGTGATTTTGCCAAACATTTGCCTTAATTTTTGCTAGCATTTTTTTCAAGGAATTGGCCAGGTTATTATAATTTAGTTTATGGGAAGGGAGCCGAGTGCGCTGGAAGAGAGCTCTAGCTCTCCGTTTTTCAACTATTTTGTTACGTATTGTCACAGGTAATGGATCTGATGTGGGAGGTGCTAGAAAAGTACTTGTAGCTGACCAGGCTGCAGTTTGTATAACATTGGTAAGGTTGTGGATCGCTAAATCTATATCGTCGGGAGTTTTTAGTTTAATGTTTAAATGTATTTCTTTATCGACTAGTTCAGTAAACTTGGAATGGTCTGTGAATTTATTAAATAGTTTATTAGATTCTTTATAAGTAGGGGAAGTATTGAGAGTTAAGAGCACTGATGAGTGATCGGAATTTAAATCAAGTAAATTTTTAGTAGTGCTAAATAAGTTATTTGGAATTTTGGTCACAAAAATATCTAGAATGTCAGGGTTTTTTCCGGGAAGACGAAGGCCAATACGTTGGATCAGGAGGAGCTAGAACTTTAAATTTTTTTAGATTGGTAAAATTGTACAAGGTGACACCTCGCGGGTTATTCGCTCGGCACCCCCACGACTCGTGTTTGGCATTAAAATCGCCGCCTATTATAAAGTAGTTATTGAATGTGCTAAAGTAGTCAGAGAATTTTATGTCCGTAACAATATGTTTAGGGGGTGAGTATATAGCAGCAATAGTGATTGGAGTATTATTTATTTTTAAATTGATAGCACAAGATTGGAGGAAATCTTGGGGAAAACTAGGCAAGGGATAAAATTCTATAGTGGATTTAACAAAAATAGCAGCACCACCGTGCGCTGTGTTATCTGGGTGATCCGTTTTAATTAAAGTATAACCAGGAATATGGATATACGAGTATTTTGTGAAGTGAGTCTCGGAAATGAGGGCAATATCAATGCGTTTGTTAATAAGAACAGATTCGAATTCATGGACATGGTTTTTGAGACCATTAGCGTTAAATTGTAATATTAGGAGCGAGTTGTCAGTGACGGAATTATTATAATTATTGGCCATTATTTGTCGAGGAGCTTGGAAATTACTTTAGTTAATAGAGCTATAAGTGGATTAATTAATGTTTTAAATTCATCTAGAAAACTGGACATTAATTTGTTTAAATCAGGAGGATGAGTTGCATTGATAGGAGGTGAAGTGTCGTTAGCAGGAATGTTGGACGTAGCCTGAGCGTAAGTTTGCGTTTGTGGATTAGAGTGAGCGTGAATAGGTGGGTGGCTACCTTGTACATTAGTGGACTTAGTTTTATAATTATTATCTATTCGATTACTTGGTGCGCTGGGTATCTTTCGACGTTGAAGTTCATTGTAGATTGAGCAGCCTTTGTAGTTGGCTGGGTGGTTTTGGGAACAGTGGACGCATTTCGGAGGGACATCTCGTGAATTCGGGCATGCAGATGACTGGTGATCCGCTCCACAACGAACACAACGAGGATGGTATCCACAGTATCCTCTGGTGTGTCCGTATTGTTGGCAGTTGAAACATTGGCTGATTTGTTTTGGTTTATATGGTTCTTCAACTTTAATTTTACAGTGAAGTAGTGATGAAAGTTGGAAAATTTCTTTAGACTGCAGTGTTGGCTCAAGATCGATGAAGAATAGTGGAAGGGGGGTTCTTATTGACTTTGTGTAAAACATTAGTAACTTGCCTTACCTCAAAACACCGAACTTCTAACTCCTCTTTTATTAGTGTTAGAGGCGTGGATGAGTGAAGGTTACGAATAACTACCCGTAGTGGTTTGTCCTCATTCAATTGGTAAGTATGATATTCAGCTTTTTCTGTTTTGAGGAATTGTATTAATGCCCTGTACGCACTAGGGTCCGTGGTTTGAATTTTCAATGAGTTAGTTGTAGACTTGCACATGAAATTGTCTACACCAATTACTTCAATTAAGGTCGTACAAAGTTCGGGATAATCTTCGACACCTTTGACAAATATAGGTGGAGGAGGTTTAGTGAAAGTTTCAGCATCAGTATTAGTATTAGTTTGATGAGAGTTAGGTATATTTTCATTAGTATTAGTTTCAAACGAATCGTCTTGGGCAAATACTTCGAATCTGTTACGTGTAACAAAAATCTTTTTTTTATGTTTTGTTAAAATAATATTCTTATTTAGATTCGGTGTTGATGGTTCGGAAGCTGAATTGGAGGAGCTGGAAAGATTACGTTTATTCGTTTGTGCTGAATGGCTAGCATTATTCATGCTGTTTGAATCGGGCTTATTTGAAGGACTGTTTTGGCAAGCATCCTGTATATTAGTTTTGTTTTTGCTGATAGTAATACTATTATTTGTATTATTAGTTTGTACCTTTGGCGATTTCCGCATGTTTATCTCGCGGACAAAGGTCGTCCTCTGTTGCGTGGCGTAGTCGATACGCGACGAAGCAGGTAATTGACACTTGAAACTATTACGAATTGAACTCGGTTCACATTCTAATCGAGAATTAAAGACGTTTGGTGATTAATTGAATAAAAGGCAAAAAAAAGTTTAATATATATACTATAATATATACTGATACGCAGCGGTAATTAACGGAGCGACGAAACAGGCGTGCGTTAGGTACGGCTGCTCGCACGATACTGGTGACAAGTTGTTGCGTTTTTATAGTCAATTTCTTCCGCCTTTGTTAATTTTATCATACCGTAATTAGTTTTATATAAATTACTAATTTTCATCGAAACATCAACTATTGATGACATAAATTGATGACGATCGAGACCAAGTAGACCCCAAGGTTTATTTTTATTTGGCTTATTACTAAAAGTAGTAAAACATCGTTTGCAAATTATTAATTTAGATGAGTGTTTAGTTCGTTGGGCACGGATTAAACGTGAAAAATTATGTATAAAACTATAATGTGATGATTTTTCATTACTTGAGAAAAACAAATCAAAATGGTCTGACTTTTCATTTTTACTAACACGAAGGGGATAAATGAGACCTCTATCGTCAGCACTATAAACATTAACAGTTACATTATTGATTTTTTCAAATTTGGTTGTTTGTTTTAGCGGTGTAGGAAAATTTATACAGTTAAAATTAAGACCACTATTTTTTTCTAAAAAACTAAACATTTTTTTACTGAATTTCGATTTATTTAAATTTTTATTAAATTTTGATAAAATAGCATATTTAAAACATTCGTTGTCACTATTTTTAACATTTATAATTGCTTTTTTATCAACAATAGATTTTTGTAATTTTATGAAAGTGGAACCTCCCAATAAATTAATTTTATTTGTCCGTAGCTGTATGCCGTCCAAACTAATTAATCTTCATCCAGATCCTTTTATTAAAAACGATTCTTGTTCAATCAGTAGTTTATTAAACATATCGTTTAAAAGTTTTTTGAAATTAGACGCAGAAAAACAAACAACATTTTTGGTTTTAAAACCAACATCACGTATTTCACCCGTTATTATGTTTTCGTAAACCGAATCAACAAATAAATTAAATTTTAAAGATGACAAAGAGCATATTTCTTTAAGCTTACAAGTTAATACTGAAGAAGCAAACTTTAAAAACGATAGTAAATCAATAAAATTATTATTATTTTTAAGAAAAAAAGTTTTTGATCGAGTATTTTTAAATTTTTCTATTTCAATCAATGTGTTACCGGTCACATCAATTCGATCACATTTTTTTATTCTATTACATTTATTATTGATAGATTTATTCATTTTATTAGATTTTTTTAAAAAATTACACTTAATAAAATAATTTTTGTATTAAATAATATAAACTAAATGTGGATAGTAGAAACGTGACGATTTTCGTTATAAGTCGTATTGAAAATATAAATAGTAAAATCTTCATCGGGTGTGGCATATAAATTATCTCTATTACAAATTGTTAAATATTTATTACATATAGGACAACGACGAATTCGACTATACGCCTGCAGTACTTCAACGTCTTTAAACATTATATCATACGCTGTAGGTTCAAAATTGATACATTCATATTCACCAATTATTTGATTATTGTACTGTCCGCACTGAATGGAACAAAACACACCGTGAATCCCTTTTATGTTTATTTCACTTAATACAAATGTTGAATTTCGTTGACGAAAAAATTCGAAGACATCACGTTCCGAGAAGTTGATCGGATGTCTAACAATCTGTTGTATCAATCGTTCTGAAAGATTACGGTTTTCTTCTGTGAGATTATCGTTCGGTATTATCATCACTAAAATAAATAATATTTATATCATCAGATAAAATTATTTATTTTAACATTAGCACTAAATAATAATAAAATAACACTGATTATATGTGTGTACATACCTCTCATATGAGTTAATCCTGATGGTTATTATATTGTATTAACAAATGTAATATTTTAAAAAGTGTTCACGACTAGAGTCACTGAAAACGTGCAACTCTCACGA